ACACAGGTGCACATACATGCAGGCAGTACACTCATACACATAAAAATAATAAATGAAATTTTTTTTAAAAAGATCTCTAAATTCTGAGACTCTGATTAAAAAAACAAACCCTTTGTGTCTTTGCACCCTCAAACATTGTCACTGTCAGGAGTGGTGTCCCGTGTTTAGACTGGGAAACTTAAACAACACATGGTCTGGACAGGAAACTGGTGTTTCAGACACAGAGGTCAGGAGAGACTGTGAAGTATGTGGTTACCTAGAGCTTGCTCCAGGTATGTTTATTGTTATATGTATTGTGTGTGTGTGTGTGTGTGTGTGTGTGTGTGTGTGTGTGTGTGTGTAAAAGCCAGAAGAGGGCTTTGGATCCCCTGGAACTAAAGTTACAGATGGTTGCTGGGGATGCTGGGAACTGAACCTGGGTCCTCGGAAAGAGCAGACAGTGCAGCCATCTCTCCTTATCCTTAAACAAATATCCTTAAAGATATTTGTTAGAATGTATTTTTACTTTATAGTAACAAGTAATTGACCCCACTCTACTCTTAAATTCACTGGAGAGTAAATGTAACAACTTACTAAACAAAAATGGATTTTTCCATGTTGTAAAGCTTGGTTGGAACAATGGCACTGTCCTGAGATGCAGAAGTGGTTATTGAGGAGCTAGAGAAATAGCTCAGCGGTTAAGAGCACTGGCTGCTGTTTCAGAGGACCTGGGTTTATTTCCCAGCACCCACATACTAATAACCATCTGTAACTCAAGTTTCAGAGAATCTGACGCTGTCTTCTGACCTCCATAGGCATTGCATGACATGGGTGCACTTATGTATATGCAGGCATAACATTCATACACTTAAAATAAAAAATAATAAAACCGGATATGGTGGTGCACACTTTTAATCCCAGCACTCAGGAGGCTGAGGCAAGTGGATCTCTGTGAGACTGAGGCCAGCCCGGTCTTCGTAGTGAGTTCCAGGCCAGCTGGGGCTATCGGGAGACCCTGTCTCAAAAAGACCAAAAATAAAAAGTAAAACAAAATAAAAGGTTTTTTTTTGTTTTTTTTGAGACAGGGTCTCCCTGTAGCCCCAGCTGGACTGGAACTTGCTTTGTAGACCAGGCTGGCCTCAAACTCACAGAGATCCGCCTGCCTCTGCCTCCCGAGTGCTGGGATTAAAGGTATGCGCACCATACTCGGCTCATAAAAGTTTTAAAAAGTGGTTATTGATCAAAGCAGCTGGGTGCTGAGCTGGAGGAAGGATGGCCTGTCTGCCCAGGTGGCTTTGCAGAGTCTGCTACATGGTGTTAGACAGTATCTCACTCAGATCCTCTGAGTGAGAAGGGGAGAACAGCCTGTCAAAGTCTGTGGACTTCTGTCTCACGTCCAAGCTTTAATGTTCTAAGGAAAGCCGGAGAGAGCCGTCTGTAATGTGAGAGGTAGGCCCGTTCCCTCCAAAGGGCATTCAGCTGCCGTGTCCTGCTCCAGACAGGGTTCTTCCTTGGCCAGCTGCTTCTGCAGTTCAGTTGTGTTTTAACATCACTGCACGGAGCTGGGTGACGTCAGTAGGTTACAAAAGCAATCACTTAGCCAGGGCTAAGATGTTATGAGGGAGTCAGAGGAGCCGAGGGAAGAGTATCCCAGCCACCGGCCTGCAGACAGTGTGGGAGGAACACAGGGCTGCTCTGCAGTGAAATGCTCCACAGTGGCCATGAGTAGAGTCATTGTCTGGAAGTTTTGGTCTGCATGTGTATGCTTCTGTGTGTGTGCATGCCTGTGTGTTGTGTGTGTGCATACATGTCTGTGTATGTATATGTTGTATGTGCATGAATATCTGTGTGTGCAAGCATGCCTGTATATGCATGCCTCTGTGTGTGTGTGTATGCATACCTATATGTGTATGTATGTGTATGTATATGTATTCCTCTGTGTGTGTGTGTGTGTGTGTGTGTGTGTGCATGTGTGGTGTGTGTGATCACACGCATCTGTCTCAGGACTTCAGCTGTTTAAAACCATCACTAAGGGAGAATCATTTCTCTAAAAGGAGCGTAGAACTGCTTTATCTGATCACTTGTTCTGTCCTATAGGGAATGGGAGGGAGGCCCCTCACCTCCTCTCCCCGTGGGCTTTTGTCAGACTTTCCAAGGAAGGTGTCTGAATGAAACAGAAGATAATTTAGAAATGTGAGGTCTGTGTGGGGATTCCCGTGGTGTTTTTACTATCATAACAGTGATAACGGATGAGACCACTGGCAGAGTGAAGGGCTTCGAGTTGGACGACTTGGCAGCACAGATGGGAGGCAGGCGGGGAAGCTGTTGTTTTATCACGAGGGCTGCTGTCTGCGTGAGGGGGTGGATTTTTTGCCAGTAGCTAGAGATGGATGTCTTGGGGACTTGGCTAATGTACTCCACAGGGCACAGTCAGGGGCAGAAGGCAGAACATATGGGCAGGAAGGGAACTGACAGGCTGCAGGTAGAGAGGAGGAATGTAGCAGCTAAAACACACCCAGGTTAGCTGAGGAGCTGCTTGCCTTAGGAACCAAAAAGCCCCAGGTAAGGAGGAACCGCCTGGGAGACCTGCGTCATGTTTGTGCAGGAATAGGGAAGAAAAGAAAGGAAGTTACCAGGGATCTCCGTATGGAGGTGAATTAAATGTGAATAGGAAGTGAGATTCAGGTGAAAGCTGTAGGTTGCCAAGCTAGAAGCCAGTGAGAAACAGTGATGGTAAAAATCACCCGAGGGCCAGCGAGATGGCTAGGTGGGTAAAGAGGCTAACAACCAAGCTTGCCAACCTGAGTTTAAGCCCCAAGACCCACATAGAAGAACTTGTGGAACTCCTGTGAGTTGTCCTCTGACCTCCAACATGTGCTATGCCATGTACATACCCATACACATATGCACACACACAAGATAGATAAAGGTAAAAACAGGAGGAGTAGAGTGGGGATTTGGGCTGTAGATGATCCATTGTCTACATGTATGTCATTGTCAAAGAATAAATAAAGAATATTAATAAAAAAACAATAAGCCTTTTAAAAAAACCTCCCCGCAGATGTACCAGGAAGTGGGCTCCAGGGCAGGTTGACGGCCTGTTTAACATTTGAATGTGTCTTCTTGCTTTCTTGAGAGCTTTCACATGTAGATCTTAATTTTCTATGACATGGATGTAGAAAGACAAGACAGAAACAGGCTGGTGTGTTTTTGGCTCGGTGGCCTGATACCCAGGGACCCAGCTGTGTCTTCGTCCCCCAGGGCATGGCTTTCACACTGCACAGAGCTCAGATTGTGTTAGCATCACTGGCTGGTCTCTATCCAGTCACCTCCAAAGGGAGTGTGAGCAGAGGCTAGAACTCACAGTAAAGCAGTCCCCGAGTTACGGATCACTCCAGAACAAACATCATTGTCTGAGCTTCAAAATCAACTCTGGGCCTAGAATGCAGCTCAGTGGAAGGTGTGTGCTTAGCATGGACAGGGTCATGGCTTTGATTCCCAGTACCTCTCCCCCACCCCAACTGATTATGAAACTTGTCAAAAATTGCTCCTTTAAAAAAACTTTTTTTTCTTGGGGTTGGAGAGATGGCTCAGCAGTTAAGAACACTGGTTGTTCTTGCAGAGGACCCAGGTTTGAATCCCAGCACCACACAGCAGCTAACAACTGTCTGTAACTCCAGTTCCAGGGGCTCCGATGGCTGGCTTCTTCTGTCCTCTGCAGGCATTGCACGACACAGATGCACTTACCTACATACAGGCAGTACATGCTTACACGTAAAATAAAAATAATTTAAAAATAAATAAAAAAGTCCAGTCGTGGTGGCGCACACCTTTAATCCCAACACTTGGGAGGCAGAGGCTTCTCCTTCCATGATAGCACAGCTATCTGCTGCTGGGAGTTCGCATTCTTTTGAGTTAGTTGTCATTACTAATTTGGAATATTTGTACTCCAGCCTAAGCAGTGGTAAATGAATGAATGAATGAATTAATTAATTAATAAATTAAAAAAAACGTAGTGAGTTCCAGCCCAGCTGGGGCTATAGGGACCCTGTCTCAAAAAATAAAAAAAACAGGGCTGGAGAGATGGCTCAGCAGTTAAGAGCACTGGCTGCTCTTTCAGAGGACCTGGGTTTGATTTCCAGTATCCACATAGTGGCTAACAGCCACCCTTGGGCATTGCACGACAAAGGTGCACTTACACACATGTAGGTATTACGCTCATGCACATAAAATAAAAATAATAAATAGAATTTTTTTTTTTTTGTCTTTTTTAGACAGGGGCTCCCTGTAGCCCCAACCGTCCTGGAACTCACTACATAGACCAGGCTGGCCTTGAACTCACAGAGATCTGCCTGCCTCTGCCTTCCAGTGCTGGGAACAAAGGCGTGCACCACCACGCCTGGCTGTGTAAATAAATCTTTTAAAAAATAGATTAAAAGCTGGGTGTGATGGCGCACGCCTTTAATCCTCAGGAGGCACAGGCAGGTGGATCCCTGTGAGTTCAAGGCCAGCCTGGTCTATGTAGTGAGTTCCAGGACAGCTGGGGCTACAAGGAGACCCTGTCTCAAAAAGACCAAGAAAAAAAAAAAAAAGATTTAAAAGCATCACCTGCTGGGCTGGAGAGATGGCTCAGCGGTTAAGTGGCTGCTCTTTCAGAGGACTCAGGTTCGATTCCCAGCACCCACATGGTGGCTAACAACAGTTCTTAACTTGAGTTCCAGGGACTCTGTTGCCCTCTTCTGACCTCTGTGGGCTTTGCCGACACAGGCGCACTTGCATACATGCAGGCTTTACATTCATACACATGAAAAAAAAAATCACCGTGCCAGCAGTGTGTCTCAATGGTAGAGTGCTTGTCTACCATGTGTGAGGCTCTGGGTTCAGTCAGTCCCCAGTACCACCAAAAAATCATTTCACCTCACATGCTAACAGAACTCCGAGGTAGGTTGGGCTCTGGTGTGCAGTTCTGGCTTCTGTTTGTCATGCCTTAAACAGGAAGATGCTCTCGTTTTTGTCCTAAGGCACGGCAGCAAGCTCAGATACGTCAACAAATGGCAGGGGACAGCAAGGCCGATTACTCATCCATCCTGCAGAAATTCAACCAGGAACAGCGGGAGTTCTATCACACGCACATCCCCACCATCTTCCAGGTGAGTGCTTCAGGCACCGAGTTCTACCACCCCCATACCCCCACCATCTTCCAGCTGAGTCGTTTGGTCCGCACAGCCTTACTGTGCCCTTTGTGGAAATATGCTGGCTCTGAATCATGGTGTGGGGCTAGTGTTCTGTTTCTTTTGTTTTCGTCTTTTTCTTTTTGTGACAGAGTCTCATTGTGTAGCCGAGGCTATCCTGGAACCCATGTACCCAGGCTGGCAATCTTCCTCTCTCAGCTTCCCAAGTGCAGGGATCACAGATGTGTGCCACCACATCTCTCTTAAGTGTTTCAAAAATTACGAATGTCCACTATAATTTCTTTTGTGCGTGCGTGCGTGCGTGCGTGTGCGTGTGCATATGTGTATGTGTGTGTGTGTGTGTGTGTGTGTGTGTGTGTGTGTGTATCAGACCTCAGTCTTGGCCGTCATTTCTCAGGCATTTTTGAGGCAGGGTCGCTCATGGCCTGAGGCTTATAAATTGGAATAGGGTGGGGCTGGAGAGATGGCTGAGCAGTTAAGAGTGCTGACTGTTCTTGCCGAGGACCCAGGTTTGATTCCCAGCACCCACATGACTGCTAACCACCATCTGTAACTACAGTTCCCCAGGGAATCTGACACCCTCTTCTGACCTCTGAGAGCATTGCATGACACAGCTGTCCATACACACATGCAGGCAATATGCTCAGACATATATAATAAAATAAGGTATTTTTAAAAACTAGAATAGGCTGACTAGCCAGCACACCACAGGGATCCATCCACCTGTCTGTCTCCCCCGAGCTGGGGGTTCAGGTGCATACCACCTGCACAGCTTTTCACCTGGGCGCTAGATTCTGAACTTACAGAAAGCACTTCACCCTCTGAGCTGTCTCCTCAGGGTGCCCCCCCCACTACGTCATTTCTCACACTGTTGTTCACCAATAAGAACAAAGCAGAATGCCAACTCTGGGTTCATCCTTCTGGGTGGTGCACCCGTTTGTGTGGGGGTGCCAGTCTTAGAACTGTGACTCCTGGATCACTCTGCTAAAAGGACATTCTGGCTACAGAAACTGCCGACGTAGCTTTAGGACACAAAGCGGCATTCAGAGTGGTGGGATCTGAACAACTGACTATTGTTTCCTTTGACTTTTTTTTTCTTTATGAATCATTGTGTGTACATGTTTTTATGTGTGCATGTGTACAGGCAGGTATATGTGCACACATTTGCATGTGCATATGGGGGTCAGAGGTCAATGCTGAGTGTCCTCCTCAGACCCTCCACCTTAATTTTTGTGACAGGATCTCATTGATCCAGAGCTCACTGATGGGACTAGGCTGCCTGGCCACTGAGCTCCAGGGATCGCCTGTCTCTGCCTTCCCAGTGCTGGGATTACAGGTGTGCACCACCCACCTTGACACTTTTACATGGGTGCTGGGCATCAAACCCAGGTCTTCATGATTGTGCGGCAAGCACCTTACCAACGAAGCCATCGCTCCAAACCCCTGGATCATTTTCTTTTGGCTATTTTAGGTGGTCAAAAATGACAGGAGAGAAGCTGGATAAGGCTCACTGTGGAGTGCTGGTTGGGCATACCTGGGCCTGGGTTTTGGCCCCAGCATTAAAATAAATAAATAAATAAATAAGCAAATAAATAAGTAAATGAGTATGTAGACACAAGTTTTTCCATTTGGGAAGTTTTGTTTCGTTTTTTGTTTGTTTTTCTTTTTAACTTTTTTTTTTTTTTGGTCTTTTTGAGAGAGGGTCTCCCTGTAGCCCCAGCTATCCTAGAATTCACTGTGTAGACCAGGCTGGCCTTGAACTCACAGAGATCCACCTGCCTCTGCCTCCCAAGTGCTGGGATTAAAGGCATGTGCCCTTTAATCCCATGCCCAGCCCTTTCTTTTTAACTTTTAAATTTTATTTTTATTTTATGTGTATGTGTGTATTGCCTACATGTAGGTAAGTGCACTCATGTCGTGCAATGCCCATGGAGGTCAGAAGAGGCCGTCGGATCCCCTGGGACTGGAGTTAGGGACAATTGTTAGCTGCCATGCGGGTGCTGGGATTTGAACCCGGGTCTTCTGCAAGAACAACCAGTGTTCTTAACCGCTGAGCCATCTCTCCAGCCCCATTTGTTTGTTTTTGAGACAGAGTCTTACTATATAGCCCAGAGTGGTCTTAAACTAGTGATCCTCTGACCTCGGCCTCCAGAGCACTAGGATTATAGGTGTCTACTACCACACCTGACTATGCCAACCTAGGTTTCATCTAGACAGTTGTCCAAATATTTTTGTAGATGATTGAAAGTGAAAGGACTAGATAAACCGCGTTACCTAGGAGCTGGGTGTGTCAGCATGCACGTGTAATCCCAGCACTTGGGAGGTAGAAACAGGAGGATCAGGGCCAGCTGTGTGCATAGTGAGTTCAAAGCCAGCCTGGGCTTCATGAGACCTTGCCTCAAAACAACAAATAATAATAAATGATATAATAAAATTCAAGTGATGGGGGTTTGCATTGGTTACTTTCTACATTGCTGTGATAAAATTTCCTGACGAAGCCCGGCGTGGTGGCGCACGCCTTTAGTCCCAGCACTCGGGAGGCAGAGGCAGGCGGATCTCTGTGAGTTCAAGGCCAGCCTGGTCTACATAGTGAGTTCTAGGACAGCTGGGGCTACTGGGAGACCCTCTCTCAAAAAGACAAAAAAAAAAAAAAATTCCTGACCAAATCAACTTAAGGAGTGGTTATGGATAGTGGTGGCACAAACCTTTAATCCCTGGGGGAGGCAGAGGCAACTGTGTTTCAAGTCAGCCTGGTCTACATAGTGTGAGTTCCAGGCTATCCAGGGCTACATAGTGAGAGAGAAGAAAGACATGCTTTGTAAAAGGTCAGCTGGCCACATTCAAAGAAAGGGCTCCATGTCCGAAAAAGAAAAAGAAAGAAAGAAAGGAAAGAAAGAAAGAAAGAAAGAAAGAAAGAAAGAAAGAAAGAAAGAAAGAAAGAAAGAAAGAAAGAAAGGGGAGATGGAGGGAAGGGAAGAAAAGTTGCTGCTTGTACTGCATCCTGAGTCAGGAGCAGGTAACGAACACTGGTGTTCAGCTATCTTTCCCCTTAGTTTTGATTTTTTAACACTTATTTCTTTTGTGCATAGGTGTGAGTGGGTAGGTGCTTGTATCACAGTACACGCAGTGGTAGAGAACCGCTCGTAGGAGCTGATTTTCTCCTTCCACTCTGGGTTCTAGGTACTGAATTCAGCTTGTGGCAACTGCCCATATCCACTGAGCTGTCCTGCCTGTGTGTTTTCTCTGTTTTTGTTTTTGTTTTGTATTTGTCTTGGACCCCAGCCTATGGCATGGTGTGTCCCACATTTAGACTGGATCTTCCCAACCCAATTAACCTAATCAAAGAAACCCTTCACTTGTCTCTTTGGTAATTCTAAATCTCGTCAAGTGGAAATCAGTATTGCTTCTCATGGGGATCTTACTGAAACTGGAATGAAGTTGTGTGAAGGGCTCACTTTGTAGCCCAACCAAGGTTCAGACTCCAAAGACCCTTTTCCCACATACAGAATTTGTGACATAACCATGTCATCCCAAACAACTTCCCCAAATAGTGATGGGCCAGATTCACTTTACAAAATCTGATTTTTCAGAAAATACAAGAGATGGAGGAGAGGAGAATTATGAGGATGGGAGAGTCGATGAAGACGTATGCAGAGGTGGACCGGCAGGTGATGCCCATCATTGGCAAGTGCCTGGATGGCATAGTGAAGGCAGCCGAGTCTGTGGATCCCAAAAATGTACGTGCCGCTGGGCTTCCTGTGGTTCCGTGTTTCTCTTCCTGCCCCTCTAGCACAACCTTCAGTGTCTCTGGGGTGGGAGTTGCTATGTGTGGTCACTGCATTTCCACAGCAGTCAGGCCTCTGTGTTTGGGATCTGGTTCCCTAATCCTTCATACAAAACAGATCGGGATGTTACAGAGCAGAATGCAAGTGTTTTCCTGGAATAATTATCCTGCATCTGCTTGATTTCTGTAAAGCGGTGGTCCTTTGTTTCCTGAAAGGCAGTGTTCCTTAAGGCATCAGTAACCCATCCAGTCAAGGACATCTTCTAGAGCTACCCCACATGCAGTGTAGGATGTTTGGCACACACTGGTGCCAGTGGGCTGGTGGCCCTCCTTGGAACAGTCAGTCACCCTTCAGATAGTGCTAAAATGTTCCCCGTGAGGCAAAATTGTCTCAGGTATAAAAGACCCACTCAGAAGCCAGTCATTGTGGTGCACACCTTTAATCCCAGCACTCAGGAGGTAGAAGCAAGAGGATCTCTGTGAGCCCAAGCCCAGCCTGGTGTAAGTAATGAGTTCTCGACTAGCTGTGGATACAGAGAGACCTTGTCTCAGAAAGACCAAACAAAACGGCCCAGGGCATGGGGGCGGGGGGAGTGGGTGTTGTGAGATGGAGAGATGGCTCGGCAGTTTAAGAGCACTTCCTGCTCTTTTAGAGGGCCCAATTTCTGTCCCCAGCACTATCTCAGGTGGCTCACAAACCTGCAGCTCCAGGGGATCTGATACCCTCTTCTGGCCTCCATAGGCAATGTGCACATGTGGCAAACAGATACATATAAAGAAAAATACAGGGGGCTGGAGAGATGACTCAGCGGTTAAGAACACTGGTTGGAGAAGACATGGGTTCAGATCCCAGCACCCACATGGCAGCTATCAACTGTCTGTAACTCCAGTCCCAGGGGATCCAACAGCGTCTTCTGACCTCTGCAGGCATTGCACAACATGGATGCTCTTACCTACACGCAGGCAATACACACATACACATAAAAATAAAAATTGAAAAAAAGAAAAATACAAAATAAACTTATTTTTATTTTATGTGTATGAGTAGTTATCCCTGTGTGTATATAAGTGTATACATGTCATTCAGTGCCCGACGAGGACAGAAAAGGGTGTTGGAGCCCCTAGAATTGGAGTTACAAATGGTTGTTAGCCACTATATGGGTGTTGGGATTCGAACCTGGGTCCTCTGCAAGAGCAGCCAATTTTTTTTTTTTTTTTGGTTTTTTTTATACTGGGTCTCCCTTTCCTAGGGTCGGCCTGGAAGTTACTATGTAGACTAGACTGACCTTGAACTCCCAGAGATCTGCCTGCCTCTGCCTCCCAAGTGCTAGGATTGAAGGTGTGTGCCAGCAAGTAAATTTTTAAAAAGAGTTCTGTCAGTCCTGATCCTCTTGCTTCTGCCTCCCAAGAGCTGGAATAACAAGGGGTAGGGGGTGGCACCACAGCCCACCAGAGCATTTTGAGACAAGTTCTCACTCTGCAGCCCTGGCTGGACTAGAACTCACAGAGATGCATCTGTTCCTGCCTCTGCCTCCCCAGTGCTGGGATTAAAGATGTGCCACCACTATACCAGGCCTCAAACATTCTTAATGCAGAAGTCTTAGGTTGGAGACATCCTTTTAAAACATCAGGGATGAGGGTAGAGAAAGTTCATACTGTATGCTTCATGGACTCTGGAACATGCATCACACACAGGAGAAAAGCCAGCCACCTGTGCTGCAAGACCCCAAGACCATCCCCCATCTTTGTGAGGTCACCTCTTTCCATCTCCTCTGGGCTCTTGAGAATCCCCCCACCCACTCCCATATCCTTGAGCCCCGACGTCTGCCCTGCCCATTCTCCCTAGTACCCAGGCTTATTCCCTCACATCCTTTGGGTCTTTATTTGAATGAAGGAACTTTTCATTTTTCTGTGTGTGTGAGAATTTGAAGGTCCAGTCTGTCTTCTGAGGCCTCTTTATCACGTTCCCCTCATCTTCCCAAACAAGCTTCCCTGTGTTTTTCTGTGTTTTTCCAGTTTAGCTTCCCTGGAAGGTTCTCTTCATAATGAAGTCAGTGTGTTGACTTGAACTTGGGCCTTCACTTTGGCTGTCCTTCTGTCAGATCCTCTTTGTTCCTGTTTAGTTGCTGGTTTTTAGCCCTTTTTTCTTTTTGAGACAGGCCCTGACACTATAACAGACTGGCTCAAACTTGCACCCGTTCTCCTGCCTCAGCCTCCCAAGTGCTGGAATTAACAGGTGTGTGCCAGCACACCTGGCTGAATCCTTATCCTTTCTTTAAAGCTTCTTTTGTATATGCATGTTCTTGTGTGAGGGCACATATGTGTGCAAATGTGCATGTGTGGGGATGGGGAGACAAAGCTAACTTCAGGTATCTTCCTTGCTGGCTCTTCACCCTCCCTATTGAGACAGGGTCTCTCACTTGAACCCAGAGCTCACCAGTTTGGCTAGCTAGCCAGCTTGCTCTGGGGATCCCCTGTGTCTGTCTCCCACAGGAGGGCCAGTACCCCCTCCCGCCATTTACATGGTGGTGTTCTAGTCGGGAGGCACCATGAGCGATACAGAGAGGAAGAGCTATAAGGCTGTGAATCAGAAGCTTTCAGCAACATTGATGGGGGGTGGAGAGCAAGAACGGCTTTCCCCGGGGCTTTGGCTTGGTGCTCAGCGCCTCGCTTTGAGAGTTGCCAAGAAGAGCAGGTGATGGCTTCTGGAGGAGGGTCACTTTCTTCAGTGGGGTAACCACTGGTAGGTTCGTCGTACTCCAGTAAATAACTTCCCACAATGCTCAAGTAGGCAGCCCTGACTGAACTCAGCGGGTCACATACAGAAAGACAGGAGTGTGGGAGGAGAACTTGGGAAGAAGGGGGCAGGAGATGAGAGAGGGTGATGGCGAAAATGATCAAAATTCATTGTATACATGTATGAAACTGTCAAGGAATAATAAATAAATAAATAATAAATAAACAAATATTCTTTTTTATACCCAGAGGGGCTGGGGAGGTAACTCGTTGGCAGAGTGTTTCCCTAGCATGCACAACGTGCCCTGAGTTCCATCCCCAGCACCACATGGCGGTACACCTATAATTCCAGCACTTGAGAGGCAGAGGTAGGAGAATCAGAAGTTCCAGGTTATCCTCAGCTACATGTTGAATTTGAGGCCAGCCTGGGCTACATGAGACTTTGTCTCACAAATTAAAAATAGCTTCTAATGAAAGTCTACATAGTGAGTTCCAGGCCAGCTGAGGCTACAGGGAGACCCTGTCTCAAAATGACCAAAAAAAAATTTTTTTTTCCACTAGGCATGGTGGCACACGTCTTTAATCCCACCACTTGAGAGGCAGAAGCACGCGGATCTCTGTGAATTCAAGGCCAGCCTGGTCTACATAGTGAGTTCCAGGGCAGCTGGGGCTACAGGGAGACCCTGTCTCAAAAAGACAAAAAAATTAAAAAAAATTTTTTTCATTGTTGTTTTATTTTGAGACAGGGTCTCGGGCTTTGTAGCCCTAGCTGTCCTGGGACTCACTAAGTAGACCAGGCTGGCCTTAAACTCACAGAGAGCTGCCTGGTTTTACCTCCCAAGTGTTAGGATTAAGGTGATGCCACCACACCCAGCAAGAATCAGATTTTGTTTTTTGTCTTTTTGAGACAGGGGGTCTCCCTGTAGCCCCAGCTGTCCTGGAACTCACTATGTAGACCAGGCTGGCCTTGAACTCACAGAGATCCTCCTGCCTCTGCCTCCCGAGTGCTGGGATTAAAGGCGTGTGCCACCACGCCTGGCCCGAGTCAGACAATTTTTATATCACAACATTCAAAGCTGTTTTCAGAAGGATTGTGTCACCATGTCCCATTGATTTTCCATTTATTTATTTACTTTCTTATTGTGATACTGAGAACAAACCCAGGCCCTTATGCCCACTAGGCAAGCTCTTTCCTGGGCTACATGCTCAGCCTGATTTTTCTGTTTTTAGCCAAGTGTTTTAACTGTTATTTGTTGCTCCAAATATAGAAAAATGGTTGTTGAAATTATCTTTGACTCTCACCTGGAAACAGAGCGTTGTGAATTATACTTCTTTTTCCTGGTAGCACAAACACTACTAGGAAAAAGAATCCACCATCCATCAGTAGGATTTTCTCCGCCAGCCTCTGTTTGACTGCCAGGGCGGCTGTCCTGTGCTGCATCCCCAGGCTGATGTGTGTGTCCATGGGTGTGATTGCAGGACTCCCAACTGGTCGTAGAAGCCTATAAGTCAGGATTCGAGCCTCCCGGTGACGTCGAGTTCGAGGATTACACACAGCCAATGAAACGCACAGTGTCCGACAACAGCCTGTCCAGCTCCAGAGAAGGGAAGCCCGAGCTCAAGTTCGGTGGCAAATCCAAAGGCAAGCTCTGGCCGTTCATCAAGAAAAACAAGGTACTGGCCGTCTGGCCCCCGTGCGGGATGAGGTGGAAGAATTGCAGAGGTTCTGAGCTGATCTTTTAGTCTTAATAAACTAAGATCTCAAAGCTGGAGTTTCAGACGCAGCGGAGGATAGCCAGCGTGCAGGCTTTGGCTCAAACGGCCTTTTTGGTGGTGGTGTGTTTGCCATGGCCTCTGTCTGTCCCCTGGACCGTGTCACCCGCACTAACGTCCCTGGCCTCTCACATCTTCCTCCCACCCCTCATCCCCCCAGACTCTGGGCTCCTCCGCTCCGCTGGGAGAGAGGCAGCGCCAGTCCCGTTAACAGTCTCTCAGCACGCCTAATCGAACTTGCTACCCTGAGCTTAGGACTTGGTTTTGAATTCACGTTAACCCACGTCTCCATGGACGTTTTCCGTTTTCTTTCCGTAGCACGGTACGTAGGTGCATGGCAGCTAACCGGCGGCGTAAGATAGGCTGGAGGCGGCACTCCGGCATTAACCTTAGAGGGACTGAATGTTTTAATTTCCCGAGACTGTCTCGCTGTCTTTTGCACTTGAGGCCTCTTGTTGCCCCCATCCAAGCCGTGGTAGTTCAGGTGGTTGGATATTTACCCCTCTGGCTTGACCTGGTTTTACAATGACTAATCAGAGGCGTAGCTTGCTTGTGACCGTCTGCATGAGCTTCGGGGCAGGTAGCTGTGCTGCTCTGCGCGGTACTCACTGAGCCCTCTCTCACCCCCTCTCCGTGGAACGCATCCTACATGCTTTCTTTTGGACCATGGCGTCAATATTAATGGTTTGTGTTTCTACTTGTTTTGGATTTCAAATATGATTTGATGCTTATTTCTGTTTTGTGTCTTGTTTCCGGTTTCTTTTTGACTGTCACCGCTCCATCTCTCACATGTAGCTTGTGTCCCTTTTAACATCCCCTCATCAGCCTCCCCCTCCTCCCCCTGCCTCTGCCTCACCCTGTGCTGTTCCCAACGGCCCCCAGTCTCCCAAGCAGCAGAAGGAACCCCTCTCCCACCGCTTCAACGAGTTCATGACCTCCAAACCCAAAATCCACTGCTTCCGGAGCCTAAAGCGTGGGGTAAGTTCTGCTCTGGAATCCTGCGTCTCTTGCGCACTGTGTTGCATGTCTGTTCTGCATAACTGTTTGTGAATGAAGCCGTTGTGTTTTTCCATAACTTTTAGAGAGAGAGACAGAGAGAGAGAGCCTAGGCTCCGTTATAGCCAGAAAGCACAAAAAAGCATAAAGGAAGGAAGGAAGGAAGGAAGGGGGGAGAGAGAGAGAGAGAGAGAGAGAGAGAGAGAGAGAGAGAGGAGAGAGAGAGAGAGAGAGAGAGAGAGAGAGAGAGAGAGAGAAAGAAGGGGGGCAGAGCAGGATGGATGGGTGGAAGGAAAGAGAAAGCCAGCCTCAGGCTCTCTTGGGCTCTAGTACATTCTGGAAGGTCCTTCACTTTCCCCTCAGATAATCCAGCTAATTCAGTTTTCTCCTTGATCTCACCCAAAAAAAGGGGGAAACTTCCCAAAACACATGCTAAGGGAAATGAGGACTTGGAAGTGACTGGGATCATCAGAAAATATCTGCTGACTAATTACTGAAAGAGTGAGCCCAGTTATAGCTACTTCTGCCTGAGGGACAGCTCTGTGGCCAGGGAGAAAGCATCATCAGGAACAGTGGTTTTGAAGTTAAAGGATGGGGGCAAAATGTCTCTTACTAGAAAAGGCTGAATACAGTACAGGTCAAACAACCCAAATCTAAAAACCAAGAATATAAATGACTCCAAAATCTGAAGTATTTTGAACACTGACATGATAAAATGAGTGGAAAATTCCATACCTGACTCATGTGATGATGGGCCTGTAGTCACAACAGGAGCATCAGGCTGGGGTGGGGTTCAGAGGTGGTGTGCTCACCGGACATGCATGAGACCCAGGGCTTCATCCCCAGCACCTCAGATACCACACGCACACCCACAAATAAAAGTCATCTTCAGTCTGTGTGCATAAAATATGCACAGAACACGATTTCTATGTTTAAACGTGAGTTTCATTTTTATCGACACACACATCTTCCCAAATGTGAAGTCTGAGACACTTGAGGCCCCAAGCATTTCCTGTGAAGAGCGCTAAACATATTTCTCTTTAAAAAGTGAAGACACAACAGCAGCAACATTTACCATGGCCCCTCAGTTCTGTTCTGAGCTCTGGTTACTCAGTGAGGCAGATGTATAATGTGGCCTTACTTTACTGCTAAGGTAATTGAGGCATAACAGGAAGAGCCTGGGACACTGTGCAGCCGGGATGCACAACCAGGGAGTGGGGTCACATGGTCTGAGAGACGGTGACCCCACATTCAGGGAAGATCTCTTAGAACAGATGCTGTTAAGACTCAAGTTTGAGGAGCTGGAGAGATGGATCAGCAGTTAAGAACACTGGTTGTTCTTTCAGAAGACCTAGGCTTGAATTCCAGCACTCACATGGCAGCTAACAACTGTCTGTAACTCCAGCTCCGGGGATCTGACAGCTACTTCTGTCCTCCATGGGCATTGCATGACATGGTTGCACTTACCTACATGCAGGCAATACACACATACATATAAAATAAAAATAATAAATAAAATAAAAAAGACTCAAGTTTGAGGCCAGGCATGGTAACACATGCCTGTGATCATAGTACTCAGGAGGTAGAGACAGGGGGATCAGAAGTTCAAAGTCATCCGTGACTACATCAAAAGTTCTAGGCCAGACTGGGCTACAGGAGACTGTCTCTAAACAAACAAAAAGCCCTCAGGTATGCATGATAATTAAAATTGTGTGTGCATATATCCTGCATAAGCCTATGGAGGAATTGGTACATAGTCACCAAATAGAGATATCAGCTTGGCTTAATAGGAAAAGACTGGGATAAAGTAATTTATGGCGTCCCAAGTAAAACTAAATGGTAGTTCTAGTCTAAGCCTTCCCCAAACATGTTGTCTGGGTATGGTGACTCACATCTGTAGTCTCAGCTCACTGGAGGCAGACAGGAAGATCTTGAGTTCAAGGCTAGCTTCTTCCAGGCTAGCCTGGGATGTAAATTGAGACCCATCTCCAACAAAGTCTGTATCCTGATGGATCACTCACCTAAGTTTCTGTCGTTCTGTCTTGGCCCTTGGAGTTTTAGAAGAAGCTGTTCTGCACAAACAGGATTCTTTCCTTTGGTCTTTCCTTGGGATCTCCAATCACTGAGAGTTCAGTGTTTCCATATAGCCTAAGAGCTAAGTCATCCCCTAGAGCCAGAGCTGGGTGCCAGGCCTTAGGCCAGTAAACAGGCCGGCAGGTAAAGACAGGCCCAGGTTCCTTGTAAACTAAAGATTCCCAAGCTTTGTTTCCCTCTCAAATGTCAGCTGGCGTAGAAAAAGGTTGCAATCCAGAGCTAATTAGATGGGCATGTCTGTCTCAGATCTACCCTCAGGGGACCAGTCAGAGAACAACAGCAGTTACTGACAGTTGGCAGACATCTTTATATAATTGATATGTTAAGTTGTTGCCTATTCAAAGAAAGGACAAAAATAATATTTGTTTGTTTTGAGACTGGGTCTCACTTATGTAGACCAGGCTGACCTGGAACTCACGGAGATCTGCCTGCCCCTATCTCCAAAGTCCTGGGGTTAAAGGTGTGTGCCATCATGCCTAGCTAAACATAACATTTCTTCATATGCAGAGTTCCTGTAATAAGAGAATCTTACATTTTATGCTAAGAATAAAATGGGAGCTGGGTGTGGTGGCACACGCCTTTAATCCCAGCACTTTAATCCCAGCACGCCTTTAATCCCAGAGGCAGGCGGATCTCTGTGTGTTCGAGGCCAGCCTGGTCTCCACAGGGAATCGAGGCCAGCTAGGGCTACAGGGAGACCCTGTCTCAAAAAGATCAAAAAAAAAAAAAATGGGGAAGCTCTGCATGGCAAATGCCTGATCTCAACACCCCTGAGGCTGAGGCACAAGGGTAGCCATAAAGGTCAAGGCCAACCTGGGCTCCGTAATGAGACTTTGGTCTCAATAAAGCAGAAAGAGGGCTGGGGATGTGGCTCAGTTGGTAGAATGCTTATCTAGCATGCACTGGGTACAAGCTTGTAAAGATCAGAAGTTCAAAGGGCATCCTCAGCTAAAGAGTAAGTTTTAAGCTAGCCTGGACTATGTGAGACCCTGTCTCAAAAATAATGTCCGGCAAGATGGCTCAGTGGGTAAAGGTGCTTGCCTTCAAGCCCAGTGGCCTGAGTTCAGTGCTTGGGACCCACAGGATAGAAGGAGAGAACTGACTCTCAAAAGCTGTCTATTGGGGGCTGGAGAGATGGCTCAGCGGTTAAGAGCACTGTGACTGCTCTTGCAAAGGACCCGGGTTCAATTCCCAGCACCCACATAGTGGCTACAAACCGTCCTTAACTCCAGTTCCAGGGGAATCCGAAGCCCTCTTCTGACCTCCGCAGCATTGCACGACATGGGTGCGCTCACATACATTCAGGCAATACACTTGTACACATAAAATAAAAATAAATAAAATATAGCTGTCTATTGATGTACACACACACACACACACACACACACACACACACAAAGTAAATGTAATAATAAAATAAGTAAATAAAAACAGCAGGTTAAAAAACAGGAAGGAGCACGCCTGCTTAGTCCCAGCCCTTGAGAGGCAGAGATAGGCAGATCTCTGTGAGTTCAAGGCCAGCCTGGTCTACATAGTAAGACCAAAAAAAAAAAAAAACAAATAAACAAACAAAAAAAAACCCTAAAACAAACAAGGAGGAAGGATATATTTGGGAGAATTATTTCGCTTTTAAGGCTAAAAATCAGAAAATAGAGCCAGCAGCTCAGTGGGTAAAGGTGCTTGTCACTAAGCCTGATGCGATCTGAGTTCTGAGTTCAGTCTCTGGGACCCACATAGTGGAAAGAGAGAACCGACTCCTGAAAGTTGTCCTTTGACGTCCATACCCATACCACAGCACTCATGTGCCCATACGTACACACACACACACACACACACACACACACACACACTACACGCACTGAATAAACACGTAGTATTTTTTTAATATGTAACAATGTAATAATTTCTTAATCAGAAATTCAGTTTCCTAAAGCTGTTACACAGTCACTGTCAGCAGGCAGAGCAGCTTCAAAGGTGGATGATGGTTTGTGCTGAGCTCTGTTAGGACTGGCTGAGTGATTGGCAGCCTCCTGGCTTGATTCTGCTGGATTTTAGAATTTTATTCTGTTATCAGAAAATTGCCACCATATTACCAGGGTGAACCAGGCTCTAATATATTAGCTCTAAGTCAGTTAATACATCATGTTACTGAGTAGTGACTCCTCATGTTTATAAACATATCCACATTTGTCTGTCAGACCTCATGATGGATTGTGTGGGCTTTCTCATTGGGCACCATTCTTTTTCGTATGTAACTCATGCCTCTCTCCACATCACAGTCTTCTGGTGGTCCGTGGTTTCTGCATCTCTGTTCGTGGTATTCCTAAAAGTATGTAGGTAGAGACCAGAAAATGTCTGTGTTCAGTAAGTGTAAGAAAAATACGGTTTAAAAAAATATTTACATAACTTAAAGACAATAACAAGTAAAAGAAGAAACTGATGATTTAAAGGAAGATCCTTTTTAAAAATGTAATCAGCAAAATGAATTTTATTTCTTGATCCTCAAATCTGTGTGCAGCAAATTTCTGTTAAAGAAAATCTCCTGAATGGTAAGTGTGTTTTCCTGGGTGAACCAGGCATTGAACGCATCAGCAGAGGAGTGGGGGAAATAGTTTTGCCTCCTCGTTTATGGTCAGTCTGTTTTAAGGGTCAGATTTTATGTTCCTTCATTTTGGAAGAAGTGGTACCCCCACAAAAAAAAAGAGAAATTAGAGGAGGTCGGGAAGGAGGAGAGAACAGAGGGAGGGCAGGAGGGAGGACGAGAAAAAGAAAATGCTAAGGACTTAAAGAAAACGCTATCAACCTGAAGTATGGAGAACTGGCTCTGGCTTTACAGCAGACTCAGTGCGGAAGGTGCTGGTTGTCAGGTCCAGGATGAAGATGATCCAGTCTTTGTTACCGTCTCATTTACTCTGTGTTTGAACTTGAGACCCTTAGACCAGAGACTAGGGAGCTAGAGGAAGTATCCTAGGAGAATAATGACCGTGTGACCATGGTGTGTCTTTTAATTTATGTTTTATAAATTTCAGGTTGTAATTCCAATCGTGTTTTAATCACCATGGAAATCATGTGCAAACATATCAGCATAACTAAGTCTGTTTCTAAATAATTCAACGAAATGAAATACTTGTTGTTGAAAGCCGTTGATGTTTGTGAGAAAATTTTGTTTTTTCTGAGTGTCTTTCCAGATTGGCTATTTCAACAGAGCTTGAGCATGGCATCTTTACATAAATCAAAGAAAAATTAAAGTAGAAAGTATGTCCTCAGAGCCGGGCGTGTTTCCCTGGCATGGGCATGTAGTAGCACCTGTGGTCCCTGCCCTTGGGAAGTAGAGGCAGGAGGATCATGAGTTCAAGGTCACCCTCCACTACATAGGGAGTTCGGGGCCAGTGCAAGCCCCGTGAGACTCTGTCTGAAAAAGGAGTGGGAGGGGTGGGGGGGGAATGTCCTGTATTTGGAATTTACAAAGGGTAATTATGTTGTTTTAAATGAAGATTTCTTTTCCTGGCCTGTACAAGGCAATCATCTATGTAAAACATAGATGGATCTCCCCTGTATTTTACAGTTAATTGTATGGAAAAATGCTATCAAAGTTGAGCAAGAAATTTTGGAAATCCGCTGTTGTGTGTTGTGTTACGACCTCGTGGTCCCCTTCTGACTGATCTTGCCTTACCTTCTCTTGCTGACCGTTGGCAGACTCAGTCTTTACGTTTTCACAAAGAGCTCATGAAGAGGACGCTAGGGAGACCCACGCATGCCTTTGAGGCTAGGGACTACATTGTAAGTCCTCCCATGATGCAGCCTTTGCAGTCCCAGAACAGCCACTAACCCCGCAGACAGCGCCAAGACTGGGGATACGGTGCGGCAGAACTTCACAGTGCCCCCCGCCCCCAAATCTCAGCAGAGGCAACCAAACCCCAGGGGGCTGTTAAAGGTCTTTTTCTATAAATTCAACAGCAGTTTCGTGTCCAGATCGTGTAGACAAACAACCCGAGCATCCTAATGCTCATGCTCACCCAAAGAGCTTCCTGACGCTCACCCAAAGCCCTAGTGATGGCTGTTGAACGGAGCTCGCGGTTGGCCTGCCTCTTTTTTCTTTCGACTTCGGGTTAAATCTTTAAAGGGCCTTCAACTGCCGCGTGAGATGTCTGTGGGGGTCTCTGCGTGTGAGTTTACGGCAAAAATTTACCCACAAAGCCAAGCTACGGCACGCACTCGGGGAAAAGCAGCATTTTGTGCGTGGTGGTGTGGCCATGCACAGGTCCACGTCCGTGTTTGCGGCAGGTGGATCCCTAGGGTGGTGGATCCCTAGGGTGGTGGATCCCTAGGGAGGTGGATCCCTAGGGTGGTGGATCCCTAGGGAGTCGTGCCTCAGCGCCCGGAAAGTGAAAGCGAAGGGCGGGCAGAAAGAGCAGGTTCCACCCAAACGCACCATTTACCTAGCTTTCATCCTGTCCCCTTTCTTTGCGCTTCAGGTTAGTACCTGTGACTGTCCGATAACACATGGACGCGCTGGCTCTGTCTCCCTCGTGTGTTATTGACGCTCATGTCTCCCAGAGCTCTTAATGGCGTCTGCTCCCTCCACTGTCTCGTCACCCACGCCATTATTCTCCTGGACGATGCCTTGCTTTCTAATCAGAAGTCGTCTGATTGGCTGGCTTATGCCTTAAGACCAAAAAGCACTTTATCACCATTAAAAAGAATTCCACACAGCAGGGTGGCACCTCCAGGAGGTGACGTGGTGCCATCCACTTCAGAAAATGGAATTTGAGAATTTTGGTGTTTCTAAAATTGAATTTGAGATGTCAGTATTTCCCATTTCTATTGGGATATGTGTTTGATTTTAATCATTTGTCCTCATTTTGTCTTCCTATGCAACATATTAACATTAGAAATTTGGTTCTAGAATGTTTGTAATTTCAAGTCACGGAAGGAGACCAGGAGAAAACAAATTGGTTTGAATGTCGGTTCTTGGAATTAGCAGTAAGATCACGTGTGAGAAAATGCCAGTGTCCGCTAGTGAGCTCTGTGGGTAGTCTCCTGCTCTGTGCTGGGGGTGTGGTCTGTCTCAACAATGAACTCAACTTGTAATGAACAAATCTGTGCTAAAGCTCCCAGGAGGGTCAGCAAGTTCACTGCCACAGCCAGCAGCAGAGTCCTGAATGTGCCTATGTGGACCCTTTCTTCCAATGGCTGTCATGTGGTTTCTTTCCCAGTCAAAAATCTTTTTCCCTCATAGGAACAATGTCTTTAAAAAAAGATTGCCTATTTACAAAGAAGTTGGCTTTTAAATCCATCTTAAGGATGGAAAAAACTAAGGACTTTGAACCCCCCCCAAAACCAATTTAGAAATCCAAGGGTACTTTCCTTTTGAAAAAGATTTTTTAATTTTTTGTTTATGTGTATGAGGCATGAGTATATGTGTACCACATGGTCTGCAGTGTCTGAGGAAGCCAGAAGAAGGCATCAGATTCCCTGGAACTGGAGCTACAGAAGGTTGTGAGCCACTCAACATGGGTGTTGGGAACTGAACCTGTTTTGTCTGCAAGAGCAGCAAGTGCTCTTAACCACTGAGCCATCTCTCCAGCCCCTCTAAGGGCACTGATATTTTGTCCCCTAAATATATGTTTGGACCCACCTACCAGTTACTAGGCCTTTTTGGATTGCTAATGACTTTAGGTCATATAATGTACTGAACTCTTCTAAACAGACAGTGGGTCTCACAGAACCATGTATTTCTTTTCCGAGTTCTCAAGTCCCTCCTTTTATGCTTCTGGTCCAGGCCCAGCAGGATGGCAGCTGCTGTGACCCAACAGTGATCAAGTCACCCACTGCCCGCAGCACCCCGAGAGTCCATGCCATTGCCTGCCTATAGGCAACTCCCTGGCCTTTTTCAAATGCGACGTAGCCCCACAGACTACACTGCGTTCAGTGGCAAGCCTCAGGCCAGGTGTCATGTGACACCTGTCATCCCATCATCCCACCTCTAGAAACCTGAGGCTGGAGGATCAAGAGTTCAAGGCAAGCCTGAGTTGAACAGAAAGACCTAAAACTTCCCCAGATCAATAAATTAACTCTGAAAAAGAGCAGGCCTAAGGAGTCAACCCACTATGCAGGAAGTGGTCCTAGTGTGCAGGTGGGAGAGAGCATCGTAGTCACCTATAGCCAGGTGCAAAGAGATTTTCTGGTTCTAGAAGAAAGGTCATTTCTCACAACACTTTCTAGACCTCAGTCACCCACTTGTCAATATGAGTTTGTCCTAAGGCCTTTAAGAAATCCGTGGTCCAGCTGGGCACGATGGCAGCAAGCTGTAATCATGACACCTGGGAGGCTGAAGCAGGAGGATTGGTAGGAGTTCTGAGACCAGCCTGAATTATACAGTGAGACCATGTCTCATACAAAACAAAAGAAGAAAATACCAGGTTTCATATTTATTAAACTTTCTCAGCATAAAAAGATCACTTATACATCATAGAAAGAATTGGGTTCAGATTTTTTAAAAACCTGATTTTTTAAAGGACTGACAAGACGGCTCAGTGGGTAAAGGTACTTGCCACCAAACTTAAGGACCCAAGTTTGGTCTTTGGAACATTAGTGGAAGGAGAGACCAACTCCCAAAATTGTCCTTTGACCTCCATGTATGTGCTGTGGAGCATGTTTCTCTCTCTCTCTCTCTCTCTCTCTCTCTCTCTCTCTCTCTCGTCAGTCATTCAATCTCAGTCAATCATCAATCAATCAATCAATGTAAAGAAAAACACAGGGACTAGAGAGATTGCTCAGTGGTTATGAGTTCTCGTTGCTGATGCACAGGACCAGAGTTTAATTCCTAGCATCCATGGTCAGGTGGCTCACAACTCCTGTAACTCCAGGTCTGAGGGATCTGATGCCCTCTTCTGGCCTCCATGGGTACCCACATACAGGTGTACATACACACATAGAGAAACAAATGAATTAAAATTTAATAAATAACCTATAATAAGAACCAGGTGTGGTGGCACACACCTGTAATCCCAGCACTCAGTAGCCAGAGGCAGGAGAATTGCTGCAAGTTCAAGGCCATCCTGATCTACATAGCTAGTTCAGGACAACAAGAGCTATACATAGCAAAACCCTGTCTCAAAAAAAAGAAAAGAAAAGAAAAAAAGTCTGTATAAGATATTCTGGGAGAAATTTTGTAAACAAAGTGTTTTGTGACTGTTTTTCTTTTAGAGTCAATTATGTGTCACTGCTGGGGGTGTAGGTCAGCAGTGGGGATACTTGCCTCACATACATAGGGCCCTGGGCTCTGTCCCCCTCACCTCACACAAATCCTATGTCCCCCAGCAAGTTTATTTTTGCGTGCATCCAGGCTGAAGTGACAGGGCAGGACTGTCAGCTCTCCTCTCACACCTTCATCTTGGGTCTGGCACCTACGAAAAGTTGCTGCTAGGAACCAGCCCCTCTTGTGAACTTTCGCACAGATCCTCAGCCATTTTCACAAGTCGGCAGGTGAATTGATGTGTTATATCAGTCCAGTGGGACCAGCAAGTGTCTCCTCTTCTGACCTGTGTTTTTTTTTCTCTCTCTCTCTCCCTCTCTCTTCCCGTTACCTCTTCAATTTTTCCGTGAAGCTTTCTCTCAAGCTGGTAAGCACAACAAACCCCCGTGCATGTCCCAAGTCTAATTGGGTTTTTGGCGTGTTCTGTGGATGCTGTGCCATGTGCACCCTGTCTCCCACATTAACTGCTCACTGCATTTCACCTGCAGGTGCTTCTGTTGGTGTTTATTGGACCTCTGGGGTGTAGTAGTGACTGTCTTAGACTTTTCAAGACGCTAAGAAAATTAATGCTTAATATGATTTGGTTTTCCTTAATATCGAGGCCTTATAAGGATGATCGGCTCTCCCTATCCATATGAACACAAATGTCAGAAGCTGGTGTCGTTCATATTGGATCATTTTGTGTCAAATCAATTTCATATTTGGAAGGTGATCCTTTCTGAGAGGCAAAGAAGCAGGTTAAAAAAAACAAAAAGCTGGGTGTGGTGGCGCACGCCTTTAATCCCAGCACTTGGGAGGCAGAGGCAGGCGGATCTTTGTGAGTTCGAGGCCAGCCTGGTCTACATAGTGAGTTCCAGGACGGCTGGGGCTACAAGGAGACCCTGTCTCAAAAAAAGACAAAAAAAAAACAAAAACAGAAAAAACGCCGGGAACCTGAAGGAGGCACGTGGGTGTGACACACACCTGCGGAGACTGCTCAGGTTTGAGGCAGGGGATTACAGTGAGAAACTGGGTGCCAACCAGGGGTCGCTTAGCTGTGTGGGTGCCTTGGGTCTGGCAGATTTCAGCGGCCACGTGATGCTTTACTGGAGAAGCCCCTCCCTGCCTTGCTAGAGCTGCCTATCTCCTGTCTACCTGCCTACCTCCTTCACCCTGTAGCTGTAGTGAACAGCCAGACTAATCATTCGATTTAGTAAAAGAAACGCCTAACCAATGTAACCCATCACTGCACTTCCAACAGTGGGTGAGGGCTGGGGATGTGGCTCAGAGGTAGAGTGTTTGCCCAGCACGCACGAGGCCCTGGGCTCCGTCCTCAGTACCACTAAAAAGAAGAAGAATGGATGAAAGTGATGTGACTTTCCTGAATTCTCTCTCGGCTCACAGTGATGACCTGTATTAGCTCACCCAGTGAGGCGCATACTGGGTGTTCTGCTCTTGATGACCTGGGGCGGCGTCTGGCCATGACTTGCATAGAAACATGTATGTGCATGTGTGTTCATGCACACATAGATACACATCATTTCCCAGTCCTGTATTTGGTGACCCAGCCAACCCTAAAGAAAAAGGAGATTTTATGAAATAACATTTTGGAGACTGGAGTATATGAGGATTCGGTCATCTAGAAAGGTCTCTCCAGGAAGGAGCGAGACTTGGGCAGTCACGACTCCCGTCCCCAAGCAGTGTGGATCTGTTGGGTCATTGAACTGGGAGCCTCTGTGGCCAGGACTCACTTCTTAGCCTTCATCTGTTCTGCTGGGTGTAAGCAGGGAAAGGTGGCTTTTAGGCATTCTTTTCTTTTGCGATACAAGTCCTTTTGCCAGTTTGGTGTTGAAGTGTTGCTTCCTGCAATTCTTTTGAAGCCAATAAAAAAGTAAAACGGGGGGCGGGGCTGGAGGGATGGCTCAGTGGTTGAAGAGCACTGGCTGTTCTTGCAGAAGACCAAGATTCAAATCCCAGCACCCACATGGCAGCTAATAACCATCCATAACTCCAGTTTCAGGGGATCTGACACCCTCTTCTGTCCTCCTTGGGCATTGCACAACTTGGGTGCACTTACACACCTGCAGGCATAACACTCATACAAATAATAAATAAATAAATAAACAAACAAACAGACATTGGGGGGAGTGCTTGCTCTGCAAGCTTGAGGACCTAAGTTCAAATCCTTAGAGCCCATGTACAAAAGCTGGGCTCGGCCCCCACATATCTGTAACCTTAGTATTGGCAGGGGTGGGGGGGGTGTCAGGTGAACTCCAAGAGGAAGCTCACTAACCTGTCAGCCTAGCCAAAAAGACAAGAAAAGACAAGCTTCATGTTCAGGGAGAGACCACGCATCATCACACTGACATGCATGCACACACGCCCCACCCACACACACATGTCAAATATTGGATAGTAAATATGTTGGCTTCGGACTAAATGTCTCAAGGACCTGTTTTACCCAGGGCTTGTGTCCGGATGTGAAGCATGGTCCACACACAGAGCCCTCAGACACACATCTGGGTGTGTGTGACCACGTCTTTCAGGATGGGTTCCATAGTCTGCAAACTGGGCCGCTCCAGTGATGTCAGAGACATCCCTGCTGACTCAGAACTAGAAACAAGACGGCCTTCATGGCAAAATGCATCACAGGTCAGAGCATTGTTCAAAGAAACATAAGCTTCAAAGGCTGAATTGGGTGAAACGCCCTTTTAATATCTTTCTGTTAATCTGAAGTTTATAGAAGCTGCTGACCTGAATCTCCATGGCAACCAAAGTTTGAAGCTGTTCCAGGGATTTGTTTTCAAATAACAATGCCATTTGGTTATCCAGGGTAGCTACTGAAAGGGACCTGACTGGCCAATTAGGTTAACTCTTTATCATTTGAAGATAATGTATGGACTTGTCAGTTCATCAGGTCAGAAACACAAAGTGGGTTATTTTAGGTGTCTCTGTAGTCCTTCACAGGCTTATGCAAACCTCACAACCTACTTTAAATACTTTCAAAAGATTCAGTGCTCAGTTGCCTATGTTCAAGTGGCTGTAGCCTCCCATGGCTGCTGTGTCAGACTGTGCAGCCACAGAGTATTTCCATCACAGAAAGTTCTAGCGGGCTCACTGGTCACTTCCCAGATCTCACTTCCATACCATCATGTCTTGCATTGAGTTTTGTTGTATCCCATTTAATAAAAGTCTTGGGGCTGGGGAGATGGCTCAGTGGAGAAAAGTTCTTCTAATACAAGCTTGATGACCTGAGTTCAAATCCCCGTAATCCCTCAGGTAACTTGAAGCACAAAGTTAGGGCCAGTGAGATGGCTCAGTGGGTAGAGGCCTTTGTGACCAAGCCTGATGACATGAGTTCTATCCTGGGACCCACATGTGACCCTACAGATTGTCCTCTGACTTCCACCCATGCACTGCGGCATGTGCATGTCCCCATACAAAAAATAATTTTAAAAGTTCTCTTTCAAGCTCAGTGCTTGACTAGAACAAACTGAAAGGCAAACACTAGTTAAGTTCTCAGAGAGTCCCGCTGCAGAGTGGGAGAGGAAGACCAAGCCTCAGTGTAGGGTTCTCATGAAGGTCCAATTTTGCTTTCTCTTGGCTTCAGAACCTAGTGGCCCTTGCTTGGCTTGGTGGTGGGTGTCCCTCAGCCCCCCCCCCCACTTCTTAGTCCCTCCTGCTCACACCCAGTCACACATAGTGTCTCACCATGAGGCTCTGATCACATTAGCTAAAACGTCTCCTCAGTGCCTAAGTGGCAAACTTTTTGCTGACGCACACACTTTCTGGCCAGCATCTTAGCCTAATTGCCTAGAAGCTTCTGTCACAAGCCCCTGTATAAGCTGCTTGGCAAATCCAACCACATTCCGGAATCACACTCTCTGGGTTCCCTTCCTCTTGACCCCGTGCCAATCTTGCCCTTGTTTGAAAAGAATTGAGGTTTTCAAGTAAAATCTCTTCTGTAAATTTCTGGCTTACTCTCGGCCCATTGAATGCATTCCTCTTTCTTTATGAAAACAGCCTCATTTAAGAAGAAGCTTTTGACACTACAACATAGTCATAACTTCCCAACAAGGAAGCAGGTGTCCAGGGTTGGAAATGGCCGTTGATATTTTCTACCTAACGTGCATGCCCAAAGCATGGAAAAAGAGCTATGGGATTTGAAATGGGATTGCAGCCGGATGGGTGGGTGGCTCACGCCTGTAATCCCATCACTGTGGAAGCTGAGAGGCAGGAGCAAATTCAAGGCCAGCCTGGTCTACCCAGCAAATGGCAGGCAGACCCAGAGCTAAGAATAAAAAAAACAGGATCAGGAGCTAAGTATACTGGCTAACACTTGCAATCTCACTTGGAAAACAAAGGCAGGAGTGCCGTAAATTTGAGACTGCGGCCCAGTTGGTAGAGAGCTTACCTGGCACATATAAGGCTCCCAGCCCTGTAAAAAAGGACAAAAAAAAAGAGGGAAGTCACATTATACTTCTGATGGCAAAGAAGTGGAGGTTGTTTTCTTACACTATGGAGAGGTAATCTGGGGGTCCCAGGGGCAGTAGAGAGCTAAGTATTCCCGGAGGGGGTGATACATTTTTATTAACGTACCTTTCACCCACACCCTTGGAGGAACTCGATGACCCATCCATCTATCCACAGGGTGGGAACTCTTGTCCTTGCTAGGAGAGATGAGAAGGAATGCTTCGACTAAGGGCAACAGGTTTGACTTCTGCCTTACCACAATCACAGTTGCAAACAGGAAAACTAAGATTCCTTCGGGTCAGAAGCACTTCTTCCCGACTCTGCTCCGCAGGCCTTGCCCGGGCCTCTCCTGGAGCGCTCTGGCCCTCAGGTGGTTTGTGGGACTTTGGAACTTGGCCCACGTTTGGTTTTCATCTCAGCTGGTGTGGCAGGAGAGCACAGCCGGTTCTGAGAAGCAGCCTGTAACTCTGCAGGCCTGGCTTGCCCTCCCCTGCCCCGGAGCAGAGCGGCCTCTGGGCTTTCTGGCTTCTCATTTGCCTTGTCTGCAGGGTGCCGCACCTGAAGACTTCAGTAACCTCCCGCCCGAGCAGAGGAGGAAAAAGCTCCAACAGAAAGTGGATGAGCTCAATAAAGAAATCCAAAAGGAGATGGATCAGAGGTAGGTGGGTCAGCAAAACCAGTATGCCAGGCTCAGTCCGGAAAGACTGATTTTATTTTTATGTGGATGATGGTGCGTCTGTGTGTGGGTTTGTACATATGTGCACAGGTATTCACAGTGGCCAGAAGAGGGCAATTAGATCAGATCACCTGGAGCTGGAGTTACACTTGTTTGTAAGCTGCCTGATGTAGGTGGTGGGAGCAGAACTCTGGTCCTCTGCAAGAGCAGTATGTGTTCCTAACCTCTGAGCTATCTCTCCAGCCCCTAAAATAGATTTAAAGGTATTATTTTGGCAAGGTTTTTTTTTTTTTTTTTCATGTTGTTTACTGGATTTCCCTGGAGGGGTCATATTTTGAGTTTGAGGAGCAAAATACAATGATTGTCCTCTTTTTGTCTTGAGTTGTGCAAAGAGGAACTCTGAGTGCTGGGCACCCAGTGCTCCTGGGATCACTAATGTGTGTCACCGAGCTGGCATGGTGATGGATTTTAACAACTTCTTTGAATTTGCAGAGAAACAGGACGAGGTGCAGGGAGGCTGTGAAGTCAGGAAGGGGGTTTTGTGAAGGACATATTAAGGATGGGTGACTTAGATCCCCCCACCAGTTCACGTTGACGTGTTTTTTCCGTGTGATGAGAGAACATTGCCATAGTCCTGGGCCACGGTCCCCACGCTCTGTTGGTTCCTTCGCAGAGATGCCATCACCAAAATGAAAGACGTGTACCTGAAGAACCCTCAGATGGGAGTCATGTTGTTTACTGGATTTCCCTGGAGGGGTCATATTTTGAGTTTGAGGAGCAAAATACAATGATTGTCCTCTTTTTGTCTTGAGTTGTGCAAAGAGGAACTCTGAGTGCTGGGCACCCAGTGCTCCTGGGATCACTAATGTGTGTCACCGAGCTGGCATGGTGATGGATTTTAACAACTTCTTTGAATTTGCAGAGAAACAGGACGAGGTGCAGGGAGGCTGTGAAGTCAGGAAGGGGGTTTTGTGAAGGACATATTAAGGATGGGTGACTTAGATCCCCCCACCAGTTCACGTTGACGTGTTTTTTCCGTGTGATGAGAGAACATTGCCATAGTCCTGGGCCACGGTCCCCACGCTCTGTTGGTTCCTTCGCAGAGATGCCATCACCAAAATGAAAGACGTGTACCTGAAGAACCCTCAGATGGGAGACCCGGCCAGCTTGGACCAAAAACTCACCGAAGTCACCCAGAACATGGAAAAGCTGCGGCTGGAGACCCAGAAGTTTGAGGTGTGGCTCAGGGTGTGGTCTGGGCGGGCCTGGGGAGAATCCCCCATCCTCTCTGTGGGAAGTGTGACGGGAGTGCTGTGCCAGTCATGAATTTGGGCAGAGGAAAACCACGTTGCTGATGCACCAGTGGGCCTGGGGTTTCCCCAGGTGACCTCAGAGCCATGGGATTGAGCTAGAAGGAAGTATACAAGGGATTTACCCATGATCATATGGCTGCTGAGCCCAAGGTTGCAGCCCATCAACAAGTGCGTGAGACAACGGGTAAACAGCCTCCTGCCTTCTCCAGCCCCGCATGAGGAGGACGCAGTTGCCCATGAGCCCACCTGTACAGCCATGTGGGACCTGTGACCTCAGCCAGGCCTTCACACATCTGTTGAAGTGTCTGCCCTGCCCTGAGTTGGGACCTGGCAGCTCACAGTTTGGCCTAGGGTAGCCCAGGTTCCAGTCTTCTGTGGCTTTTGTTTCCAGGCCTGGCTGGCTGAGGTGGAAGGCAGGCTCCCAGGACGAAGTGAACAGGCACGCCGACAGAGTGGATTGTATGATAGCCAGACGCCCCCGACGGTCACCAACTGTGCCCAGGACCGGGAGAGGTACAGTATCTCTGAGCCCTGCCTCTAGCAGAGGACCAGACTTACTCTGTATTTACTTCTAAATTCTGGAATCTCAAGTGAGCATAAGGCTCGTGTGAGGGACCGGAGTGCCATCTATTGCCAGTTTTACCATCCAGTCTGGGCTGGCCACGCAGGTTGGCGGGACTCTGGAGTGATGGGGGCAGACCCGTGTCTACGGATGGTTTGCTATAGTTGCTGCGTGTCTTCCTCTCTTGAGCAGCCCAGATGGTAGTTACACGGAGGAGCAAAGCCAGGAGAGCGAGCTCAAGGTGCTGGCCACGGATTTTGATGACGAGTTTGACGATGAGGAGCCGCTTCCTGCCATAGGGACCTGCAAGGCCCTGTACACGTTTGAAGGTACGTACCACTGCCCACCCACAGACCTGCCTTTCTAAACTCACTGGGCCACTCCTCTCTTCTGTGGAGCAGAGCGTGGTGTGTGTGTGTGTGTGTACATGAACTTGTGTACACATGCATGTGGAGGCCAGAGGTTGACATCACCTTTTTTAAATTTTTTTGAGACAGGGTCTTACTGTGTAACACTGGCTGCCCTGGAACTCACTGTGTAGACCAGGTTGACCTCCACCTTCCAACTCACAGAGATCTGCCTGCCTCTGCCTCTCATGGGCTTGAGTTAAATGTATGCACCAGCACACTTAGCCCACCACCTTATTTTTTGAAACAAGGCCTCACACTGAACTTGGAGCTCACTCAGTCAACTAGGTTGGCTGGACAGAAGGCCCCAGGGGTCAGTCTGGTCTCACTGCTTTCCTCGCTCTGGGATTACAGGTGCATGTTGCCATGCCTGGCTTTTTATGTGGGTATTGGGGGTTAAACACAGTCCCTCATGTTTGCATTGCAAACACTTTACTGACTGAGCCATCTCTTCAGCCCCAAAACTTAATCTAGAAACTTCCTTCCAACCTTTGTTATTGTTTTGGACTGTTATTATTGTTTGTTTTCTTTTCTTTATTTATTTATTTGGTCTTTTTAAAAAATTTATTTTATTTTATTTTATGTGTATGACTGTATTGCCTGCATGTATGTGAGTGCACCCATGTCCTGCAATGCCTCCGTCAGAAGAGGGCTTCGGATTCCCCCGGAACTTGAGTTAAGGATGGTTCATAGCCACCATGTGGGTGCTGGGAATCAAACCTGGGTCCTCTGCAAGAGCAGTCAGTGCTCTTAACCACTGAGTCATCTCTCCAGCCCCCTTTATTTTGTATTATTTTTATTTTATGTGTATGTGTGTATTGCCTGCATATAGGCAAGTGCATCCATGTCGTGCAGTGCCTCGGAGGTCAGACAAGGTCTTTGGATTCCCCTGGAACTGGAGTTAAGGACAGTTGTTAGCCGCCATATGAATGCTTGGAATTGAACCCAGGTCCTCTGGAAGAACAGCCATCTCTCTAAACCCCAGTTTTGTTTTTTTAGAGACAGGGTCTCCCTGTAGCCCCAGCTGCCTGGAATTCTATGTAGACCAGGCTGGCCTCAAACTCACAGAGATCCTCCTGCTTCTGCCTTCAAAGTGCTGGGAGTATAAGTGTCTGCCACCCACAGCTGGACTGTTATTGTAAGCCTTTGGCTACCTGCAGAGACCTTACCTGCCATGTAGCATGATGCTCACAATTCTGTTGCTCACTGTTGACAGTGCTCTTGTCTAGCTCCTGGAGAGTAGGATGCAGGCAGAAGGGCCTGGCATCCACTATAGGGAAACCTAGCAGACAGACTACAGAGGACACTGACGGAGTCTGCGGAAGAGGGTCCTGTATGCTGGGAAGACGAGAGTTTAGAGCTCTCTGCTCCCTAGAGCTGAGGCAGGGGCATGGCCACGAGTGGAGAGATGAGGCAGAGTTTGCTGCTGCTGAGGGTGAGAGATCTGGGGCTAAGGCTGTAGTTGAACATAGACTAGAAAATGGCACGTATCTGGGGGCCAGGGAGATGCTCAGTTGGTAAAGGGCCTACCATTCAAGCCTGAGGACCTGCGTTCAATCCCCAGAACTCATGTAGAAAAAGCCAGATGTGGTGGTGCACGCTTGTAATCCTAGCACTGAGGAGCAGAGACAGGCAGATTTCTGGGGCTCATTAACTAGCCAGCCTGGCAGAATTGATGAGCTCCAGGTTCAGTTGAGAGATCTTGTCTCAAAATATGAAGTGGACAGCCAGCGAGATGGTTCAGGAGATCAAGGTGCCCACCATCAAGCCTCATTTCTGAGTTTGATCCTTGGAACCTTCATGTTGAAAGAAGAAAACTGACTCCCACAAGTTGTCCTGTGACCTCCACATGTGTATCGTATCACACACATTCATACACATGGAAGGGAAAGTACTTGGGTGAGGAACACAAGCATCCTGTTTTACAAGGCTAGCACTGAGGAGATGCTGCTGGGGTTTGCTGTTGATGTGTGGGAGCAGGAGCTGTTGTTCCCATGTGGGGTCAGAGGGGCGGCTGGAGGGGCAGCTGTGCTTCTAACCGGTAAGCCCCAACATGACATCATGCATAGAGTTTACTGATGATTCCATGAGAGAAGCAGTCAGGGCTCAGGTAGGTTCCAGGCCTGGGGATGAACCAGCTTGCCAGATTCTATAGGACTTGTCAGAGCCTTTGACAGACTGAATGTTCATTGTGGTAAGAAGGGACTACCGGGGGAAATGTCAACGAAGCTTAACTTCATATCTACAACTCCCACCTCCCCCCAACACACTGTGACCCTGCTAACAGCTCCCTAAACAATTGCCCTCTGTTCCGGTTTTATCTCTGTTGCTATGATAAAATACTCTTAACAAGAAGCTGGAGAGATGGCTCAGCAGTTAAGAGAGCACTGGCTGCTCTTGCAGAGGACCTGGATTCAATTCCCAGCACCCACATGGCGGCTAACAGCCGTCTGTAACTCCAGCACCAGGGGATCTGAAGCTGTCTTCTGACCCCCAGGGGTATTGCGTGCATGTGATATGCTTATATCCATGCAGGCAAAACACTCATACACACAAAAATAATATTAAATTAAAATACCCTGACAAAAAGGCAATGTGATTAACGGGGTTATTTTAGCTCACAATTCCAGGGAAGTCAAGGTGGCGGGAACTTAAAACAGCTGGTCACACCCACAGGCAAGATCAGGGAGGCAGGAATGAATGAATGGTACAAGCTTGGGGTTAGCTAGCATGTCGTATACAGTCCAGAACCCAAATTCAAGGATGGAGCTGCCTACCTCCGAGAGGCTGGGTCTTCCCACCTCCATTCAGGCACTCAAGACAATTCCCAGGCCGGCCTGATCAAGACAGTCCCTCACTGAGACCGCCTTCCTAATTGATTCTGTATCAAGTTGACATTTAGAACTAACCCCTCTCTCCAGCCCGCTCCGAAGCAATGACTCAGCAGTTAAAAGCTCTTGCTAATCTTGCTGAGGAGTCAAGTTTGGTTCTTAGCACCCATGTCAGACGGCTTACAACTGCCTGTAACTCCAGCTCCAGGGGCTCCAACACCGTCTTCTAGCCTCACATGTGCATACCCCCCCTACATATACATAATTAAAGATAAAATATTTTTATATACTTATTTTTGTGTGTGTGTGTTTTGCCTGTATGTGTGTAAGTGCACTCATGTCATGCAAAGCCCACGGGGGCCAGAAGATGGCACCAGATCCATTGGCTCTAGAGTTGTAAACAGTTGTTAGCTGCCATGTGGGTACTGGGAATTGAACCCAGGTCTTCTGGAAGGACAGCCACTGCTCTTAACTGCTGAGCCATCTCTCCTGTTCCAAAAATAAATATTAAAAAAAAATTTTAACTCAGTACTTGAGATGCGGATCTCTATGAGTTCAAGGCCAGCCTCGTCTACATAGTGAGTTCCAGGCCAGCCAGGACTACAAGGAGACCCTGTCTCAAAAAGACCTAATATAAATAATAATAATAATAATAATAATAATAATTTTTTTTGTCTTTTTGAAGCAGGGTCTCCCTGTAGCCCCAGCTGTCCTGGAACTTACTATGTAGACCAGGCTGGCCTTGAACTCACAGAAATCCGCCTGCCTCTGCCTTCCAAGTGCTGGGACTACAGGTGTGTGCCACCACACCTGGCTAATAATAATAATTTTAAGAACAACAACTACTAACCAACAGACCCTTCCAGTATCTGCCTATAAGTGTGGCTGGTTCTTGAACGAATCTTAGAGGATGGTCTGGGGGCCTCATTAAAGAGAGGGCACAGAAATGTTATGGGTGACATACTTCTAGTCCAGACTCAGGGCTGAACTAAAAGGAGAGAGCCAAGACTGCCCCAACAGCTCATCCCTGAGCCTATGAAGATGCCCCTTCTCCCCAGGGAAGGGACAAGCAGGAGGAGGGTCCCAGTGAACCCAGGTATCCTGGGCTGTGTTCCAGGGGCCAGGAGAGCAAGGGGCTACCGTGTTGCAGGCAATGGGGGAGGATGTAGGGACACTGGTAGAAAGGGCTCTGGAAGCTAGGGAGGGTCCCTGGGGAGAAACCCCAAAAGGTAGGGCATAGAGGGGCGATTCACCATGGGGAGGATGCCCAGAGGACCTAGGGAAGGGTCCACAGACAGAAGGGGACCCCTAGAAGTGTCCCTGTGGGTGGATGCTCAGGGCAGCATGGAGGACCCAGCATCCACCAGAGGACCAATGGGGAGACGCTGTATGGCCTTCACCTTGACTCCTGCTCCATTGCTAGACCCCTGCTTCCATCCCCTCGCACTACCTGGGAGCCTCATCTTTTCCGTTTGCCTTTTTAGGTCAGAATGAAGGCACCATTTCCGTAGTTGAAGGAGAAACGCTGAGCGTGATCGAGGAGGACAAGGGAGACGGGTGGACTCGCATCCGCAGAAACGAAGACGAGGAGGGTTACGTCCCTACTTCCTATGTCGAAGTCTATTTGGACAAAAATGCCAAAGGTGCTAAGACTTATATTTAATCTCACTTTTAAAAAACTCTAAAAAAACACTGGAGTCGGTTCTCCCCACCGCTGTGGTTGTTCCAGGCCTTCAAGAGGCTGACGGAGAGCAAGCACGCAGTCACAGTCTGACCTCAGACGCACGGGGACTGGTGGTATCAAGTGCCTATGTTGGCTCGTCTGGCTTGGCAGTGTTCTGGTTCTGCTTGCTGAGGACACTGCAGAGCTGCCCCTGCGGGCTTCTGGCTGTGTCATTTGAAATCTCATAAATGTCTCCACTTCTTGCAGCAGCATCTGTAGATTTAAAACAAAATGTTATATTCTTAGCCAGGGGTGGTGGCTGGTGCCTATAATCCCAGCACTCCAGAGGCTGAGGCAGGAGGATCACATTGAGTTCCAGGTTAGCCTGGGCTACAGAATGAGACCCTGTTTCATTAAAAAAAAGTTTTAGAATAAAACTTCTAATTATTAATACTTACTGATTTAAAAGCCCCTGGTCCAAGACTTCTGTTGGCTTGTTTCTATGTCTTGTCTTCCGGGCCTTGAACCACAGTTAGATTTGGTAACTTCTCCAGTGGCATTAAATCACATCTCCCTGCCTGGAGTAAAGACCTGGGGCTTTCTCTTGGGGCTCACGGTGTGTGCTTTCTCTCGGTATGGTCACTGTTGCTACTGGGGTCCTCATGCGACCATCCTTTTATGTCTGTGTGTCCCAGACAGCCGAGTGAAGCCCACCCAGCAGGCCGGCTCACACCCCAGGCTTCTGACTCCAGCACTGGCCGTGAGCGGGGTGCCTCCACCTTTTGAGCACCCCTGTGGGCTTGACTTTTCTCATATGTTGTTAGTACCTGGTGTGGCAGCCGCTATGCCCATACGAGGCCGTGGCATGACCCTTTCAAGGGTGGTCTTTTTTTTTTTTTTTTTTTTTTTTTTGGTTTTTTATTTTTTTTTTTTTTTTTTTGCCCCCAGGGCCCGGCAGACCCCCATGTAACCCAAAAGGCCGTGGCATGACCCTTTCAAGGGGTGTTTTTTTTTTTTTTTTTTTTTTTTTATTCCTTGGCACCTGTGAGATTCAAAGTTTGAACTTACTGGAAATTGTTTTGGGATCTCTGGCTCTTTTTATCTGATTAACAGCCAGAATGAAATAAACTATCCCAGTGTTTTAAAGGAATCTGGGCCATGTGGGAATTGGCATTTTTAAGTTGGTGTTGGAGGGTAGAAGGTGGCACTGGTCACATGCAGAAACAGCTGCCAAGGCCAATACTGAACTGTGTCCATAGTGACAACCCACCCCAATCACGGAGAGCCAGCTGCAGATGGGTCTGCATGGGAGAGTCCGTGTCTGACTCTCATTTGACTTATCATTTATGTCTTTTAAGTAAGAAATTTGCTCCTAATCTCAGTATTGGGAACTCGTTTTACAAGGTGAGGTCAATTTAATTTAAAGCTGCTTTTTTAATTCCAAAGAGAGGCAATTTTAAATACATTTTTCCAGAAACAACTTGAAGCAGGTTACATAAAATATATATATAATGAAGTTCCAGGCGGGGCGGGGGGGGAATAGGGATAAGAGATCAAAGACCAAAGGATTTACCAACATGGGTCAACTTGGTGGAACAATGGTTTCCATTAGCTCTGCTCTTTTTTTCTTTTTGGAAATCCTAATAAGTTTATTAGGCTTACTAACAGAGTGTAGGGTGGGGGTTTATTTACAGAAGAGTGGGCCCCCCATTTAAGGCTGCGCTGGAAAGTCCACATTCAAATATAGATCCTGTGACTTCCCGAGAGAGGAGCCTCATGGCTTTCTTGGCTAAAGCTGCATTTTTTTAAAAAAATGTGGACCTGGGGTTGGGACCTGGGGTTGGGACTCGGGCCTCATGCATGCTAAGCAGGCATACTGCCACTGAGCTGCGTCCTGGCCCTTCAGCTGCTTGTAAAAAGTGAGGACAGTCCACTTAGCCAGGTTCTGGAACCCATAGCAGGTGTGTTTTGAGACCCTAGCAGAGCCACTGAAATGGAATTGAGCAAGCTTTACTTACTGACAGCCTGTTTTTTTTTTTGTTTTGAGACAATGTCTTGCTGTGTAGCCCAGGCAGACCATGAACTCATCCTCCTGCCCCCATCTCCTGAGCAGTAAGACAAAGACATTGTTTATTTAAAAGAGTAACAGACTCTTGGGCCATGGCAAAGGTAACTCAGAGAGATTCCCAGTGCCTTTCCCCCATTTCCATTGACCACATCTTACAGTTTAGTACAGTCTCTGGATTAGGAAGCTGACCTAGTTGGCCTGACTTTTTAAAAAAGTACACTTTGATTTTGGTATTCAAATTTCTTTTGAGAACTTTTGCTGGCGGTGTGTTTAAAGCTGCTCATCCTGAGGCCTCTTCAGGGGCCAAGTTTCAGTTCCCCCTGCAAGAACTCTGAGTTCCCAAGGATCTAATTGAGGGAGCTGGAGGAAGGGACCAGCTTTCTGCAAGTGACCAGGTGACTAGAAAGACCCTGGATATAAATCTGCCCACTGTGTCCTGTGCAGAACCCACTTCTAGGCTGTGATTTCTGGAAAAGGCAAGCTCATCCCCTGGAAATCTCAAAGTGGGATGGAGCCGGTGAGCAGCCTGCTGGGGGAAATGGAGGGGTTTCCCCTCTGAGTTGTACAAGTCTGGTTGGGCAATAGCTTGGGGAGCTCAGTTTGGATATATACATGTGTGGTTACTGTTTTAAGTGTGTCATGAAGTTGGCTACCTTAGGACCCTAGCAGATGAATCTGTGGTCCATTGAGCAAACCAAATGATACTTTGTAGCTTTCCATCTAGCCAAGAGTGAAGTATAGAAAACAGCAACAGTTGCCAAAGTAGCAAAAATATCTGTTTCCTTGGAAAGTACACTTAGTTTTCTTCCAACAGCTTGCCTTAAAAGAAAGGAAAGGGAGCTGGAGAGGTGGCTCAGCAGTTAAGAGCACTGGCTGCTCTTGCAGAGGACCCAGGTTCGGTTCTCAGCACCCACATGGTGGCTAACAACCATCCATAACTCCAGTTTCAGGAGATCCAACACCCTCTTCTGTCCTCCGAGGGCATTACCTAACATAAGTGCACTTACAGGCAGGCAATACACCCATACACATAAAAGAAAAATAATAAAAATGAAGTGGTTAAAAGAAAGGAGATTGGGGGAAGTGAGGTGGGAAGGGATGACTCAGCAGGTAAGCTGCCAAGCCTAACAACCTGTGTTCGGTCCCCAGGACCCACATGGTGAAAACAGAGAATGGACTCCCTCAAGTTGTCCTTTGCCCTACACATGCACATGGTTACTGCCACACACAAATAAATGTAAAAATTTAAAAAGAGGAGGAGGAGCCGGCTGTGGTGGAGCACACCTTTAATTCCAGCACTCGAGGCAGAGGCAGGTGGATCTCTGAGTTCAAGGCCATCCTGGTCTACATAGTGAGTTCGAGGACAGCTCGGGCTACAGGGAGACCCTGTCTCAAAAAGACCAAAAAAAAAAAGAGGAGGGAGGGAGATCTGAGCTGCCCACAGCTTCCTCATTTTAGCTGAAAGATACATCTACCAACCACCCAGGAGCCTCCCCCCATCCCTAGTGGCAATCATACCCTGCCTCCCCTAAACCCCACCCTCCTGCCACCCAGCCTTGTGAGCAGGGCTGCTGTCTCCTGATGCCCATAAATTCAAAGCATCTGTTTGATTTTTGAATAATGCCAGAGTACCTTCTCTCTTTCTGTTGTGGCGTCTACAATGTGCTTAAATCATTGCCAAAATATTTAGACTAGAGTAACATCCAATTGGTCTTGTGTGGTTTTGTTTTTTAAATCGCTTTCTGTTAAATGTGTCCATAATTCTTTGCTACAGAACATATTTGTATATACTACAATTTGAAAACTAAAAGAAATGACTTGAACAAGTTGTTTTAACTAAGTTTCAATCTTTTTTTCTTTTCTTTTTTTTTTTAACCTGTTTGTTTTATTGCCCATTCTGCTGCCTAACCACCTTTTTGTTTTTATAACTGCTGGGGAGGCCCCAGGACTCTTGCACCTTAGCTAGGTCCCCGGCCCGCCGGCTGCTCCACACTTGAGTTTATTGTAGACCCCTGGGTTCTGAGTAAGTTGTTTGAATACAGCCATCATGATTGTTTCTTTCTGTTCCTTCTAAAAGAAGACTCTTGTCTGGCATCTTCCAGCTGTACCCTCACATCTGCCTCTCTAATAAATGTTATATTTTTCTCAGTGCTGTGTATTTTAAGTGATTTTTCTCTTTGCCAAGAAAATTGTTCTGTAATGAGTGTATAACTCTTTCATCTCTAATGGGGAATTTTCCAGCCAAATGCTTTTAAAAACAATTCTGCCTCCCTATTCTTACCTGCGTGTCCTTTAAGGCTTGAGCACCTGTTCTTCTTGTCTTCCCTCCCTCCTTCCTAGTGATGGAGAGCTTTCACTGGTAATGGAGGGGTGGGCAGCTGTACCCTTACCTGTCACCAGAGGGTTGGAGGTCTGTGGCAAAAAAATGCCCAGAGCCACTATGGGAGAGAGAATCTGCTTTTTAGTGTCCTTGCAGCATTTTGGAAAACTGACCCTTTCTGTCTAAATGAAATTAAGAGCCAGGCAGCGGTATGATGCTTATGATTCTAGCCTGGGCTTCTAAACAACTATATCCAAAACAGGAAAAAAAAAAAAGTAAGTTTATGGAAAAGAAATGAGCAGGTGGCAATGCTACTGATCAATAAGTGGGACTAAAGACGGAAACCAAAGCAGGCCTACCAGCCTAGCACTTGGGAAGTGGACACAGGAGGATCAGGAGGTCATCCTCAGCTCCAATTAGGTCTGAAGCCAGCCTGGGCTACATAAAACTCAGTCTCAAAACTTAAGATCAGAGTAAACCCTTGAAAGCTCCCCACCGCAGGGCTGCTCCTGGTAACCAGTTACTGAACGGCCCCTTCCCCACCCAAGGGCGAGCAGTTTACCAGTCGCTAAACGGCCGCCCTGACCTGCTGCCTCCTCTAACCCAGGGTTTTCCTTCTCTTTCTTTTTGTGTCCTAGATTCCTAAAGGCGGTGCACAAGGCCAGAGTCCCTGAGAACCTCCCCAGGAACCACCATCATCTATCGGGCTTGTCTCCACAGGCCTCCAGCGCCACCCAGGCTAGCTGGGCATCCTCTGGGCCACCTGCAGCCTGGTCCCCACTCTCCATCTCCCCTTCTCCTCACACCACATTTCTGGGGCTCTGCCATTCCCCTGGCCTGCTTGGTGCCAGCAGGGGCATGTCTTTCCCCTAAGCCCACTCGGGTCATCCACCCCACTCCAGTCCCCACCCACGCAGGCCACAAAGACAGCTGGACCTGGTGTCCCCATGACCCTGCTCCTCCAGGCCCCCTGTCCACCCAAGGCGAGCCTGGCCAGTCCTTGCACATTTCACACTGTGCCTTTTGTGAATTGTTGCCCTGGTCTCCTGGGTAACTAACAGAATCTAGACAAGGAGGGCCAGGCATGCAGGGTGGACCGAGAGCCCACAGGACATCCATGTTTTCCTCAGAGCTAGTCAGCAGATGCTTCCTCCTGTCCAGGGCCTACTAAAGAGCCAGCAGCCCCTGCTGGTCTTCCTCCCTGGCATCTCAGCACTCAGCACCCACCCTTCTGTCTACCATGGGTCTACCATGGGACTCGGGCACGAGCTACCACCCATGCCCACTCTAGTTCCAAGCCATCTGCGTGGCCCAGGAAGATCCATGTAGAAGCCCCAAGCTCCAGCCTGTGGGCCAGCCCTGCTGTCTTGCCTGTGTCTACCTTTCATGAGCACCCTGACACCCCTCCCACCATCCGTGGTACCCTGTGACCGAGGACCTCACACACTAGCTCACTCATTACCCTAAGGTGGACCTTTAAGTAGCATTTGAGGATTC